CTGATGGCGCACAGGGCGGGGCTTCAGCACGTGGAGAGGCGGCCTTCTGATGGCGCACAGGGCGGGGCCTCAGCACGTGGAGAGGCGGCCTTCTGATGGCGCACAGGGCGGGTCTTCAGCACGTGGAGAGGCAGCCATCCCGGGGCACACACAGCACGTCTTTGGTGACTGCTCAACGCCTGCGCCTGCGTCCGGATTGCTCTGCTAGGTCCATTCAGCTGTGCTTGGTGGGTTTTCACCACACTGCCCACTCCAGAGATGAGGAAACAAGAGGTTTTGAGAGGCAAAGGTGCCTGGCTAGGGCACAGAGCCAGGAGGGAGGGCCCTGTGGTCTCACGCCCCATCTTCTCCCTGCTGTGTCACATCCTCAGAAATTGGCACCCTCTTTCCTGTGACCCTCAGGCTGTACCGAGGGGAGGATGAGAGGGCAGGAGCCTTGGGGTAGCTCCTCAGAAAAGTCCGGCAACACAGGCACGCCCCGAGCAGAAGAAGGCAGCCCTTGCCGCTCGCGTTCCTCTCCTCCGCCGTCCTGCGTCTCATGCTGTTAACCCGTCCCTGGGATGGGAAGTTCTTGGAAGGGGTGAGCCCCTGCTCGTTCAGCTGCTCTGAGGGAGGACTGCCTGCCGTGAGCTGCCCCATCACTGTCCTCGCACCTGTGCCACCGACCTCCTCTCACTCACGTGTTGAAGGCGCCTGGCACAGATGAAGGAGCTTGTGTAAACGGCTCCGTCAGCAAAACACCGCCCCCTGCACTGGGTTGTTCTGGCAGCAACTTGTTAGGCCGCGAGTGGCTGGATTTGAACCAAGTGCTTCGAGCTACAAGACTTCGTGGCTGTTATTCCTCCTTAAAGCAGGGACGTTTCCTCACATTGTTCTCTACGGTTTCTTCCACCGGAAATTCATACCCAATGACTCCAAAAGCCACCGCTTTTAGAGCAGCATTTAGATGGGATGGGATCTCACAAACGGGAGCAATTCAGACGTGTCCCTGGGAATGCAAGGCTGAGGCGGATCACTTAGCGAGCTCTTCGGGTCTGAGCGGCACGCACGTCCTCAGGCCTAGCCTCCAGCCCGGGCTTCGCGAAGGTGCTGACCCTCTGCAAACGCTGCGCAGTCGGCCCTTCTTTCTAGACGCTTTTTCTGCAAGCACAGCCTGCCCCTTGCTTGTTATCAACACTTGGAAGTGCAGCAAACCGTTGTCTCCAGAAGAATGCCATGATAGCGTCAGAGGTGCTTTCGCGGGCCTGCATTTGCGTTTGCAGGCTGTGCCGGCCTGTGGAGATAAGCCAGGCTCTGGCAGGGAAAGTGGGGCAGGAGGGCTGGGAGTCGCCTTTTTGTCCCAAGGTAGCTGGAAGGTGAGGTTAATGCACTTTCAGGATCTCCTCCAATTTCTGCCTTGTAAAATATTTGAGACAGGCAAAAAAAGCCAGAACCCATCAGTGTGCTGCATCCAGACCCATCTCGCATGCAAGGATACTCAAAGACTCAAAACAAAGGGATGGAGAAAGATTTACCAACCAAATGGAAAGGAAAAATAAATAAATAAAAAGCAGGAGATGCTTTAAAGCAACAAAGATCAAAAGAAGCAAAGAAGGATATTACATAATGATAAAAGGATCAATGCAACAAGAAGAGCTAAAGATCCTAAATATATATGCACCCGATACAGGAATACCCAGATATATAAGAGACCTAGACTCCCACACAATAATAGTGGGAGACTTCAACATCAATATTAGACAGATCAATGAGACAGAAAATTAACAACGATATCCGGGATTTGAACTCAGATCTGGAACAAGTAAACTTAATTAACATTTATAGAACTCTCCACTTTAAATATACAAAATATACGCTCTTAGCAGTACCACATAACACCTACGTACAGGTTTCAATGAAATATTGCTTGGCTGCTTGTTATTTTCTTCCCTCATTTTTTTTTCATGTCTCTATTATTAAGCACAATTCTAGGCATACCCATTTTTAGACTGCATTCTAGCCCCGGCAATAAAGCGACACCCCATTCTCTCTCCCTCTTCCTCTTTCCCTTTCTTCCTCTCCTTCATTCTTAAAAAATTGAGTCATGAATCACAGAACAGGCTATCAAGGGTCACTTGGTCCTGTCTTAAAACTGTCTCATGCATATGCAGAACAAGATCGAATTATTTTTGTGTGGGTTTATTTAAGTAAACACTGCTTGAACGCAGGGATGAGAAAGCCACCGTGCTGGATGGCTCAGAGAGGCTGCCCGAGGGTTGAGGTACAGAACGTTTCAATGATGGATTCTGGCCTCAGCCACTCATCAGATTTTGAATCTGCAGTTTGTACCATTCTATCTGTACAGCACAAAATAGTTTCTTATTTCAATGGAGAAAATCTCTCATGAAGGATATTCTAATTACTGTTTAGCATATTTACATTTTCCTTATGATATTAAAACCTGCACAGATATATTCCAAAATACAACCAAAGTATTATCATTTCCCGTCAAAAGCAGAAAATACTTTTTGCCTCTTTTGGGAACACATGATTAAAAATAAACCGATGACTAAGAAACTTAAGCTTTTTAAGAAATCTGGATTTGTAAAGAGATGGTCCAAAAGGGAGGAACAAGGAAAGGAGGATTTTGAGAGCTTTGGGAGGGGCCGCAGAGTAAAGCTAGCTTTGTATCCTGGGGGATCCTTACCAAGAAAAAGGTTATGTTGCAAGGCCTGGAAACAAGGGAACTTGTAACCAAATGGTAACAGTAACAGCCGGGAAAGAAAGACTGCCTTTAGGAAGCACCTAAAAAGTGGTGCACAGACAGATGAACCACAATAATTGTGTTCCTTTTTATCCCCTGGGGACACTAAATTCCCAAACGTGCATTATTTAGTTATTTTTAGATATGCAGCGAGCAGGGAAACCACTGAGAACACCCCGTGTAAATCCTCCTGCAGCTTTCCTGAAGTCAGCGTTGCCTGATGAGTGTCTGTCATGGAAGAGAGCTTGGGAGGGCTGTGCTGTGTCCCTTCATGGGGACCAGTGACGTGTTCCGGCGTGCCTGGCCACCATGACCTTGAGCGGCTGTGGAGTGCGGGAGGATGATGGAGCCTCGAGGTTACTCATTTTCTCTGCCATCCAGTGAATTGCTTGTACATTTCCTGCCATATTACTATTGCATTTCCAAAAAATAAGAAAACATCCTCGAAATATCATAAGCTATCTTTTTGATGTGAATGTTGGTCTGTATTTCTGTCATATTCAAAATTGAAAACAAAAATAATTTCAAGTTCTAAAATGTTTCTGCTGAGGAGTTTTACTGGGCATGTATATGGCTATGGGAATTCCAAGTTAATTCTGAACAGAATATTCAACTCCCAATAAACTCCGAGAAGAATTATTTTTATTTCTCGAGTAGGTATACTAATGATGAGGGGGGAAGTGGACCAGAATAGCGGCTTCAGTCTGTTGGAAGAGAAAGAACTACACTTTATATTTGTAATAGACATCTTTCAGCATCGTATAAACGTTCAAACTTTGTCACAGATTACTTAGTCACACGTGAGTGGATTTCCGATACTCTACAAAAAGGTAGTTCCTCACCATTCTCCTCTACACATCAGAATCAAGCTGAAATCAGAGTTTTAATTATCTTTGGTTGCATAATGTCTTAAGATTTTAAAAACACAGTTCATTTTTTACCTAATTCACTTCAGTACTCCAACATAGGCATTATGTAATGGTCGTGATGACATTTTTCAGGTGAAGAGACTAATGTATTGGGTTTTGGGGTCTTACATACATTTGTCAGGTGGAGAGACGGTCATATATAGGGTTTTAAGGTCTCACATACATGTGCAACCCCTTAGCACCAGAAGTAGAAACTAGTCTTTTGTTTCTGAGTCCATGGCCTGCGACTTTGGGTGACAGGGTCCCGTCAGGGTACTAGACAGCTGACAGAATTTAACTAGAATATGCCAAGCACTGCAAATGAATCAAAATGGAGCAAAACTATGTGCTTAACTTAATTTGTGATAACCATTTAAGAGTCCAAAATAATTTCGTTCCACTCCTTATTTTCCTCTTTCAGGTTCCACAAATGAAAAGTTACCCCAACGTGAAGGCACAGGAAAAACAGGTAACTATCTTAAAATAAATGTCTATGATGATATGTAGCATCTAGTAATGTGTCTTGTGAAATAGCTTCTGGAGTTACAATGTAAATATCCCCTAGTAATGATAATGAGAGCAAAACCAGTTTGCTCCCTCTTTATTCATTCAGCAAATGCCATTCACCTCTCCTGATCACCAGCTGGGCTGGGCCTGTGCCCTGCTGGGATCACTGGTGTTGGGGCTGTGCTCTGTGGCTTGTTCGGGACCACTGGCAGACACTGTTGGGACCAACTGGAGCCTCCTGGTCTGTGACTGTGGAGAGGGCTGAGGCTCAGTATTTTGGCTCCATGGGGGATTCTAAACCATTGCAATTATTGAGGACCCTGATAAAGATGCCTCAACTCCTCCCTACAAGGAGGAAGAGGAAGAGTTTTTCTACCTACAGCAATCGCTGCCTCTGAGACTGGTACAAACAAGAGCCCAACAGGACCCTTAACCTGAACATCACATGGCAGCCAGTGGGTCCTGTTTCGGGGGGCTGCCACATGCCCACCACAACCCCCGGGAAAGTCTCCATCCCCTTCCCTGCCGTTGCCTCGGCTAACAGCCTTCAGTACCAGGACATATTTCCGCTTTTCTCTTACATCAGCCCTTCAAGTCAGAGGTTGTTTTCAAGATGAGAAAAAATACTTTAGTACCAAAATATCAGGGACTTTGTTTTGCAATGCAGGTTACAGTGTAATGAACCAGTAACAAACAAAAATAATATAAAGACAGGGCCGAGGCAGGCAGATCACCTGAAGTCAGGAGTTCGAGACCAACCTGGCCAACATGGTAAAACCCTGTCTCTACTAAAAATACAAAAATTATTTGGGTGTGGTGGCACTTGCCTATAATCCCAGCTACTCGGGAGGCTGAGGCAGGAGAATAGCTTGAACCTGGGAGGTGGAGGTTATAGTGAGCCAAGATTGAGCCACTGCACTCTAGCCTGGGTAACAGAATGAGACTATGTCTCACAGAAAAAAAAAAAAAAAAAAAAAACAGCCAGACTGGAGTTTTATTCAACCAATCCTTTCTGCATATGTGGGAACTGCGGTGGGGCCCGTCCCTGCTCCGGAAGATCCTTTGCAGAAAGAGCTGTATGGCTAGGACACAGACATGTAGGAGGGTGCAAGCTGGCACAGGAGTTAATGTCAGCCTGCCCAGAGGGCACCCTCCAAGGGTGAGGGAGGAGTAGCTTCCTGGAAGGGGAATACATAACAGGTGTGAGCTGGGACAGAGGAAGCCTCACAGTCAAAGAAAATAGCTCGTTTTTCCAGCCGAAAAATAATGGCAGTCCTAATGGGAATGCTGGGTGGGGAAAGGGTTTACTTTTGGAGAAGAAGGGGTGAGGTTGGCAGAGCAATGATGTGAGCTGCGTGAATCCAGCTGAGAAGATAATGGGGTGGGTGTGTTGACATTTGTAGAGCAAAGAAGGGATGATGCTCGTGGTTGGAAAGATTCATCCCATGTGGAAAGGGAGGAGGAGGCGGAAGGCCTGTCTTCTTCCAGGCAGCGTGCCGAATCCTGCTCATTATGATATTTATTGTACCCACTGTAAAAAAAAAAAAAATCTGGAGGAATTGGAACATGGGCATGAAAGTGAGTTAAGGAAAGAACACGCCCCCCTCCCAGGCCTGTGGTCTAGGCCTGCATATGCAGAGGGGACACCTCGATTAAGCAACAGAGCTAGCTTCCAGACGCAAGTGAGACACTGAGACACTTCCCACACTAACGGGGAAAATGACCAACACACAGCTCTTTGAGATTTGTGATTTATTTCCTGTGTTTTATTTATTTTTGTTTTATTTCCAATGGCCTTGCTCTGTGGGGACAGAGCCACCCCGTCTGTGAGGGACGGGGCATGGAGTAGGGCCTGAGGATGCCCATGGCTGAGGAGGAAAGCGTGGTCAGGGCAGGGTGGGGAGCAGCCTCTGGTGCCCAGAATCAGGGCTGGGAGGAAGATCGGGCGTGGACCACGACACTCACCCTGTCCTCAGGTCACACCTGCCCTCCCTGCGTGCTACCCAGGCTGAGCTTTCAGGCTAGCCTGGCTCCAGTGATGGGAGAATGGGCTGGTGGCCCCAGAGTGGTGACTTGGTGAGGCCTCAGGAAAAATACAGAGCAGTAATAATGTATTCGATTGTCCTCATTCCAAAAAATTTCAAATATGTCCTTTTAAGACTTTTTGTATGTTCTTGTGCTTAAAATATGTTTCCCATTTTGTTTTATTTTCTTGGAAGAAGATTGTAAAATAGTCAACCACAAAATATTCCTAGTTTATTGTTATTATCAGTGTTAGACTTGGATATTTCAAATAACTGTTGTTACATTTTTGTCAGTATTTTGATAGCTAGCAAACTGTTTTTGAGAGATTGCTCAATGTTAAATTTTTTTGACAATCTGTTTTGATTTTCCTCCGAAAAAGCCTCATGAGAAACTTTGTTCTTCAGATCCCTGGGGAGTTGATGACTTAGTTATCTCTGTAGCCGGCCCTCGCCTTTGCCACCTTTTCTTGAATTTCAATCTGAAAGTTACTATTTAACAAAATGACATAAGCAAGCTTCAGTGGAAAAAAAAAAAAAGAATGATCCTGAGAGCACCACAGTGCCTTGTGGTCGCTTCCAGGGCTGGGTCCCTGAATGTCTAGAGAAGGGGTCCTGGCTCACATGCCCTGCCATCCTGCCAGGCCTCTGAGCCATGTAAAACCTCCTGCTTTACCAGGGAATCCAAAGCATGTGTGCCAATTCATTAAATACAGACGATTCACTTGGAAAACGCGTGTCCATGGGTGGTGCGGGGCCTGTGACGCCCCGGCCCACGCTTTCCTCCGTTCTTCATCACTTTCACCCCGCCCCCTGACCCCGTGCCCCTCACATCCTCGCTTAGATTATTCCACAGCAGCAGTGGAGACAGGGAGGGCCAAAGGTGTGGCAGGGTCCAGGATTCTCCAATCCTGCCTTTCTCTTGGTGAAGACAGGGGTCCTGTTAAGAATGCAGGCTCTGCTCACCCCGGTCCCTGCCAGGCCCTCTTCTGTACCCTCTAGTGACCCAAATTCATGACTTTCCTTTCCCAATGCTAGCCTTTCTTTGCTGTAATTATTTGGATTCCTTTCTCGTCTGCTCTATGGCCTATGATTGGCCCTAATGGTTTAGAACTGATGGGGTATTTTCCGCGTGGAAGTTAGGTTAGCATCTAGCCTGGAGCATTTTAAGTAGCAGCTCACGCAAGCAGTGATGTAGCTTCACCCCTGAGGCAGCCGGGCATCGGGTCGGGACTGTGTGGGGTTGCTCTTGTGTTTGATCTGTGGGGGTTGAGTGTAAGACCTTAGCACCAACCTGTATGCACACTTACCTCACTTACTCTCATAATTGTAGTCTCCTTGCAAATCTTTTCCGTTCTGAATTCAGATGATGCCGCAGCTCCGGCGTTGGAGACTCAGCCTCAAGGAGATGAAGAAGGTGAGCCTGGGCGGGGATCGCACAGCCTGCACTGGGGAGGAGCGTGAGGGCCGGTGTGGAGCTGGGAAGTGGGGCAAGTCATCTTGTTAGAGCTCCATTCAGTATGGATTGTAACATGCCAGATGCAGAGAGAAAAGACCACATAATCTCACTTGTATGTGGAATCTATTTAAAAAACTCCAACAGTGAGAAGAAGGAAACAGCAGGCAGAAAGCTGGCCACCAAGGGTAGGGTGGGATGGAGGAAATGGGGAGAGGAGGTCAGAGGCTGCAAAGCTGCAGGGATGCGGGATGGACGAGGGCACTCAGCAGCAGGAACACAGTCAATGATGAAATGACAGTGGACTGCATATGCACATTTCCTGGACACACACCCGTGCAGTAGCTGTGAGATGCCGGGAATATGCATTGGCTTGGCTGTAGAAATACTTCACTGTGTAAATGTGTATCTGCACATCATGATGGGCGCCTTAGACAGGGATAAGAGAGCAAACTCACAGCAGAAACAGACTGCGTTTGGCCGTGCCCAGCCTCAGGAGGGCACCCACTGTTCTTCATGATGTAGTTGGAGCAGTGATTTTCGGATATTGCCATGGTGCATTCTCATGAGGGTTTCGTTAAACACATGTTTCTAAGTGACATGTCACAGTTTGGATAACATAAAATGCATGACCGTCTTCCCTGTTGGCATTTCACATCTTTACAAGTAGTCGTAACGAGGATAGATTTCCTATTTTTACCTTTAATACGTACCTTTATACTTGCCATCCTATAAAAAATTCTCAAGTCAAAGGGGACCTGAATTTAAAGGCAAAGTATAAGGAATACGTAGTATACATCAGCCAAACGTTAAAACATAGAACTGCACTATGCTTTGCAAATGATAACGACTAACGCTGCGTGGCCCTGAGTGCCGCACACTGTGTCCCTGCGTCCCTGCGTCCCTGCATCCCTGGCCTTCGGAATCCCCTCCACAGGTGACGGCCCTGCAGTGATGACCTCAAGCCCACCTGGGAGTACACAGCAAACGACATTCAAACCCAGGGGGCTTCAGGGTCTGTGTCCTGACATTAACTGTGACCTGCACTATGTTCCTTTTTTTTGTTTTCTTTTTTTTTTTTGAGATGAAGTTTTTCTCTTGTTGCCCAGGCTGGAGTGCAATGGAGCGATCTCAGCTCACTGCAACCCCCGCCTCCTGGGTTCAAGTGATTCCCCTGCCTCAGCCTCCCGAGTACTACAGGTGCTTGCCACCAAGCCCAGCTTTTGTTTTGTATTAGTAGAGGCAGGGTTTCACTATGTTGGCCAGGCTGATCTTGAACACTTGACCTCAGGTGATTCATCCACCTTGGCCTCCCAAAGTGCTGGGATTACAGGCGTGAGCAATCATTGCACCCAGACCATTCAATTTTATTTGTTAAACAATATTACTACAAAAAGGGTATTCCTGAAAAGTTTTGAGCAAAAGTTACATTTCACATATTGCATTTGTATTGAATCTTTTAACTGATTGAAAACCTTGTATGTTATGTGAATAGCCATTTTAACTACACAACGACATGTTTTTATACATTGGGCATTTATCTAAAACCTGATTTTTTCACAGTGAATTCTCCAAACACCTTTTAATTATACTTTTGGATAGAGAAAAAAATGCCAAAAATATTTTAAAATGTATATTATGATTTCCTTTTGTCTCACGCATATAATCATTGTAACTATTTCTTTTAAAATGTTCAACGTGTGTTATACTGATTCATTTTAGCTTTTGGACAACTTGCTGCACTATGTAACTCAGGACATGGCACTGTCAGGATGAGTTAAAAATGCTGATTGCTTTCTTTTGGTTCACAGATATTGCATCACGTTACCCTACCCTTTGGACTGAGCAGGTTAAAAGTCGGCAGAACAAAACCAATAAGAATTCAGGTAAGACGGTGTCCAGTGTCACTTTGTAAGGAGTGATTTACTGGATCTAGAACATGCGTTATTTTCTTGGAGTTAAGCGTATAGTACAATTGACCCTTGAATGAAAACGGGGTCGGGGTGGAGACCTGGCACAAAGGTCTCAGTGTAACTTATAACTTCCCCAAACTTAACTGTAATAGCCTATTGCAGACTGGCAGCCTTACCCAAAATACAGTGGTTAACATATATTTTGTATGTCATATGTATTATATACTGTATTCTTACAAAAACAGAAAAGAAAGAAAATGTGATTAGAAATCACAAGGAATAGAAAATACATTTACTACTCATGAAGTGGGTGTGGGTCGTCATAACGGTCGCCCTCCTCCTCGTCTCTTCACGGTGGGTAGGCTGAGGAGGAGGAAACAGAGAAGGGGCTGGCCCCCTGTCGAGGGTGGCAGAGGTGAAGGAAATGTCCTTGCCACAGTGCACCCATGACGTAAAAGCCTGCTGCTCAGGGGCCAACTGTAAATATTTTCCCTTGGTTACTCAGTCGTGAAGATAATTCTTAAGATTTGATCACTAGCATATGTTGTAAAACTTGGTGTTTTAAAATTAAATTTTCTAAATTCTTTAAAAGATTTTTCTGTAGATGTCAAATAAGCTATAGCTTTAGGTATAAAAATGGAGATGTTTGTTAATAAGTATTTCCTTTTGACCTAATTTCAGAGATGTTAAACCACTTTGCTAATTTAAAATCCTCCACATCATGTGCATTTTGCTTGCTACAAAACAGTGTTTGAGAGACCTTCTGCCTTGTACAGCTAACTGCTGTAACATTTTGAAGACCAGTAATGGGTTGCTTCCTCTTGGGTTAATGATTTTGACTGTGGGGACGGATTTGTTCTGTAGTTTTCCTTTAGGCTCTCAGTTGATTGCTTGTGCGCTTCTCATTGCCTTTTCAAATGAGGATTTCACAGATTCTCATTGAAGGGAAGCAGCTGTGTAGGTTTCAAGTCGTTCAGCTGCTGAGTAAACACGGAATTAGTAACAGCTTGAATTTTCTATGATCAGCTTTGGGTGAAAATATTGCAAACATTCACAGAGGCTGTTTATGCATTAAAACTTTATCTGTGTTTATGCATCCATATATTCTTTTGCTTACAAAAAAATCAGAAGGTTGATTAAAGTTCAGAATACCAGGAGTGGTTCGATTCTCCCTTCACCCACCCATGCCTCTTATAGACCCAACCTAAGAAGGACACTTGATGGGAATGCCTGGGTCTCCCTAAGCTAGCAGCCCCCTCAGAAGGCCACAGCGAGCCTATAGTGGTCCTGTCCACTCACTGACACCTGCAGAGCTAGCGTGATGCGATCAGGTGAGCCAGGGCAGGTCAGCATGTGACTGCTGCCCCATGGTGTTCTGAGATCACCGCCTCCAGCCCTGAGTCTTAGCTGTGTGGTGTCTTCTTGCTGCTTTACCTTCTGGGCTGAGATGAGGAAGCGCAAGCCCTAAAGGCACACATGGCAGAAACATTTATCACCTATTTATAACATTTTCCTCAGAAACGCTTGTTATAGCATTGGTATGGATATTTCTCCATACAATATCCTATTGTATGGAGATACTAATCTCTGTATGTGTCTTGTAAACTTTTGGCACTGGGTTTTGTTCAATTTTGTCACCCCATTTTAAAAAAGTTATTTTATTTCTGTCTCATACAAATTTGTACATGAGAGATTACTTAAAACACTGTATGGTATGGTTAGGCGTTGTATCCCCACCCAAATCTTATTTTGCATTTTAATCTCCATAATCTGCACATGTCAAGGGAGAGACCAGGCGACGGTGATTGAATCATGAGGGTGGGTCCCCCTGCTGTTCTCACAGTAGGAGTGAGTTCTCATGAGATCTGATGGTTTCATAAGGGGCTCTAACCTCTTTGCTGGGCACGCCTCCTTCCTGCCGTCTTGGAAAGAAGGTGCCTTGCTTCCCTTCACCTTCCGCCATGATGGTGAGCTTCTAGTGGCCTCCCCAGCCATGCTGACCTGTGAGTCCATTAAACCTCTTTCCTTTATAGATTGCCTGGTCTTGGGGAGCTGTTTACAGCAGCATGAAAACGGACTAGTACACTGGTAGATCTTGAAAACCACAGGAGAATAAATATGTTAGCACCTAAACTGAATTTGAAAAACAAATGTACAATTCTTGTAAATGCTTTTTGTGGAAATATACATTATTTTATTTACTTATTTATTTAGAGAGAAAGTCTTGCTCTGTCACCAGGCTGGAATGCAGCAGTACAATCTGGGCCCACTGCAACCTCTACCTCCTGGGTTCAAGCGATTCTCCTGCCTCAGCCTCCTGAGAAACTGTGATTATAGGCACCTGCCACCATACCCAGCTAATTGCTGTATTTAGTAGAGACAGCCATTCACCATGTTGACCAGGCTGGTCTCAAACTCCTGACCTCAAGTGATCCGCCCACCTCAGCCTCCCAAAGTGCTGGGATTACAGGCCTGAGCCACCATGACAGGCTAGGAAATACACATTTTTTTTTAAGCGAATGTAACCATTTAAGGCATTGTCAGATTAAGCTTCATGGAAGCCTGTGGAAGAACATTTCTGTGTCTAACCTCTCACTTGCCACTTGCAGATTTCCAAGACTTCAAGTGATCTGCCAATGGTAATTAACCAGTAAAAACTGAGCAGGCTTTTGGTATTTAGTGGGACTGAAAATAATGTTTTAGGAAATTCCAGTTTACAGAAGTTACCCTGCACTATAATTTGATTTAAGTCAGCCGAGATGAGTGGAGCACAAAAGATAGCCCAGAGTGGATTTGTAGATGCAGGGCGTGAAGTTAGTGGACGATGTTTGTGTTTAATATCAGTTTTCCAGCTACACGTTCTCTCTGACGGTCTGAAGAAACACCTAGTTGGTATTTTAGGACATCAAAAATAATATTAAGTTTTAACAATGAAATGACAATCATAGGATATATATATATAATGACCACTGTTATTGAAATTTCAAATATCAGAAGAGTGTCATTTATACTTAATTTTTATTTTTAAAATATACTTTGACTATAATCATCTTTGGTAGATGTAGACATATTTATTTGAGAAAATGTAAACAATTTTGACAATAATAATTTGGGTATTTAAAAAAATTTACCTAGCTTGTCAGTACTTTTTCATGTTCTTTTATAAGAAGGGCCAACTGGAAAATGCATTGCTTTTTGTTTCTCTGATGTTTCTTTATATCAGCTAAATGTAGTATTTTCCCTCATGAATTTGTGTGAAAGTAATCTAAAGTGATTTTTGTTACCACAAACATAGAGCATGGTTGCCATGCGTCCAAATGCCTGAGGGCACACTGGGAAGACCTGGTCACATATGCTTTGGAGCATGTAATGATGGTAGTTTTTTTAAAAAACGGACTATTCTTACAAAGGAAAATACAATACTTCTACTCTGAAAATTGGCCCATGGCAGCTACACAGTACAGCCAGGCCTCCTGTGGGGTTTGAACCGCGTCGGGGTCTGTAGCTCAGACAGAAACCCTTCATTCCCAGGCCAGACTGGATTTAGATTGGCAAAGACCTCCCATTCCCCTCCTGTTGCTCACCTCAGGCTCCAGCAGAGCCCACCGAGGGCGGCCCCTCACTGCCCTCCGGGATGGTCTGCAGGTAGGGAGTGGTCACACTTGAAAATTTGCACATAATAGCCACACAAATACTTATTAAGTTAATGAAGGGTTGTACCAGCGTGTGTTCCACCGGCCTTATTGTGGTATCATTGCTTTTTTTTTTTTTTTTTCCTTAACAAACTGAATGAAACAAACTAACCAAATTGATAAATAAATGGAAAAGAGATAATCTAGGCACCCTAGAGGTTGCCTATTAGACTTATCTTGATTTAAATTCAATAAATATATAAATCAAATATTCTCCTGGCTCATTTAGTCAGAAAATCATCACTTTCATCATGTAAATCAAAATATGTTAAATAAATGAGTAAAATCTGAAGTTACTTGTTACTTTAAAGTGCATTACTCAGTTTTTCATATCAATGTAAAATTCTGTTAATTCTTTTACTGTCTCAAATCATCTTTGTTTTATTACTCCTTTCATAGAAGATTTATAAAGTAGTTATAAGATTTTATCAGATAAAACATTTTGTAAGATACAGTCTTTTAATTATGTAAGATTTAAACAAATGTAAGCCAAATTGGTACTCTTTCCTACAGGTATATTAAGTACTTTCTAGATTTCTGCCTGATTTTTAAAAAAACCAATCTAACATATTGAAGCAGAGGCTGTAACTTCTTTTTTTCACTTGAGCAAGCTACTAACATCTTCACAAAAAACAAACACTATTCATGAATTACAAACACCAGGTGCTTGGGTTTCCATAACGCATTCATGATGAAAACATCTCCTCTAGAGAAAAAGGCATATGATCGTGGCATGTCAAAGCTGAGGAGGGACCCAGGCTCACAGGACGGTTTCTTTATCATGGGTGCCATTTGCGACCATTTCCCATAGTGACAGGACCCATGGGGAGGAGCACTGAGAAAGAATGGGAAGACAGCTGGTGGAAGACCAGCTCTGTCACACCCTGGTGGGACGATTATTCAAAGGGAGGAATTGGTTAAAACTTACGTGTGATCTGTGCCCATCCCCCACCAGGTGTGCCACAGTCTCCCCCAAAACAGGGGGACGAGATAAGCCCCATCATGTTATACTTTAAGTATGCAGGTTTCTTTTTTTTTTTTTTTTTTTTTTTTTTTTTGAGACAGAGTTTCGCTCTTGTTACCCAGGCTGGAGTGCAATGGCGCGATCTCGGCTCACCACAGCCTCCGCCTCCTGGGTTCAGGCAATTCTCCTGCCTCAGCCTCCTGAGTAGCTGGGATTACAGGCACGTGCCACCATGCCCAGCTAATTTTTTGTGTTTTTTTTAGTAGAGATGGGGTTTCACCATGTTGACCAGGATGGTCTCGATCTCTTGACTTCGT